ACAGGACCCGTTGGCAGCAGCAGCATCGCACTGGCGCTCCGTGCACAGGAGATGCAGAGAGATGGCTGCGGCTGTTGCAAGAAATACATGCATCTGGGCAGCACGCGTGGTTGCTTGATAGCTGCTTGGGGCCATGTGCCGTTTCTCAGACTGTGGTGTATTTTGTATATGAGGGAAACTGCAAATAAGGCACGAGGGGCAAATGTGCTGCACTTTCTTCTTGCCAGTTATTACACAGCATCAGAAGAGATCTTCTAAACCATCCAGCTCCTACTGCCTGTCACAAGCAACCACGTCCTTTTAATTCTGTTCATAACCTTATTAGCTCAATTTTAAATGTAGTTATAAGTAAAGGGATCACAACACCCTTTTAGGCAGCTGATCCTGAACCTTGGTCCATGTTGGCTAGAGTTCCCTACTTTTGGCGTAAATTTATTCCTGGCAAGCTTATCCTCCTTGTTTGTCTGTTGTATGCTTGCATCAGCAGTTCTTCTCTGCTCCTTGGTGTTTGTTTTCTTGGTGTACTTTTATCAACCTTCATTTTTGCTAGTGTGAACAGGCTGAATCTCCTCTCCACCTGTTGAGATGACTTGTAACCAGATCTTCTAAGCAGAATGGTAGATAATGATTAGGACATGTGTAAGGCTGCAGGGGAACAACCCCTTCCCTCAGCTTTTCCTTTCAACTTGGAAGAGGACATCTGGAGTTACTGTGTCTGGGTTTGGGTGTCCTGCTACAGGATAGATGCAGAAACTGGAGCAAGTCCAGCGGAGGCTACCAAATGCTCCTGGGCCTGGAGGAAATGGCATGTGAGGAGAAGCTGAGGGAGCTGGTTTGTTCAGCCTGGAGGAGAGAACGGGGGAGTCCAGTTGCTGCCTTCCACTGCCTGTGGGGTGTTACAGGGAGGATGGAGCCAGGCAGTCCCCATTTCCAGTGGAAATGCCCTGCTTTAATTCCCAGTTTATTTAAGCAGCATCCTAATGATGGTTACAGTCCTGTAGCCAATCCAAAATTTTCTTTCTCAGTTATTCACAGGTGATGAACTTCTCTTAGAGCAAGGGTTGATCCTAAACGTTGTCCCATTTCTAGTATTCTTGCTCCCCAGTTTTCTGAATTACGCATAAAATTCTGTTTTTTTTCCTTGATGAACTCCAATGTTGGAGTCATCTTCATTCTCAGTCTCCCAGTTATTGTGCAAAGGTCACTAGTGAGAATACTGAATAAAACTGGTTTCAAAACAGAACCTTTAAGTACCTCCCGCTTGTCCAGTATTTTCCCTCTCTACTACCACCTGTTACCATCTCTCCTTTAGCTGCCTCCATCTTCTCACTTTTGGTATTAAACCCTGTTTTCATCTAGCTTAAATAGCTTTTTGCCAGGATGTCCTCCCAAGAATGTAGTCCTGATCACTACTGTCTAGAGCATGGGTACACAGATGAATTGGCAGGCATTAGCAATATTGCCTTTCCAACATGTGGATGCTTTCCTGTCCTTGGCAATACTGATCCCTCTTGAGGGACATGCCTGCAGCTCCTCCTGGCTGCTGGGCATCACAGTATTAGATGATGGCAAAGTGTGTGCTGGGGCAAAAAGCTAGAGGTCTTCTCGACCTCTCAGCCTCCTGACTCCATCCCATCTATTTGGCTATCTGCCTTTGTGGTTTCTTTCAGCGCGGTAAGAGATTCAGCAAGGCACATGGGGAAAGGTGGGGGGATATGCAATGGCTCCCTTAAACCAGGGTGAAGCCGTGGGGTGGGAGGTGGTCTTTGCTGGAGCAAATGTAACGATCAGTGGTTTCTTGTGCTGCTTTCTAATAATTCTCCTTTGCTGTTGTCTAGATGAAGATCTCTTTCAATGAGACAAGTTTGCAGACTATGTTTGAGTACCCGTCAGAGAGCTCACTGGCAGAAGAGGAGGAGGAGGAGGAGGAAGAGGAAGGACATGCTTCTGAAACAGAGGAGGACAAGTCTTGCACCTTTTACATTCCACGCCCAAATGGCACTTTGCATCCCAATGCACCTAACTCAGGTGAGTGAGGCACTGTGTTGGCACCATGGGGTTATTGGTGGTGTCTGATACTGTCCACATTTCCTACAGACCCTCATGGGACTCCACTCAGGTGGAAATGCTAATGGAGGTGTCTTCTGACAGTAGAATTGGGGCTTAGTGGGGACAGGGCTTGAACTAGAACAAGGAACTGCAGATGGGCAGCTTCCATGCTGTCCCTGCCAGGATCCTGATCCCACTTCCTTTTGGGGCAGTGAGAAATATTCATGTCCTTCCAGCAGATTTATCCAGCTACACCCCAAAGCACTCCTTGAAGTTCAGTGAGTGGCAGGAGCAGAAATATGAGGAGATGCCTGCTGCAGAGGGACCCCTCCCAAAGGAAGCTGATTCCCGTGGGAACCAAGTCATGGTGAGACTTTAAATAAGCAGGTCTTGGTTTTGTCCTGCTCTTATCCCAGTGCTCGGGTTGGACAGTGGATGGGATGGGATGTGTCTTCCACTGAACACCGGTGTGTGTGTTTGCTGCCCAGGGAGGTGTGCCACCGCTCACAAAGGGATCAACACAAGGTCCCACTGCCACTAGCAGACCTGCCTCTCTCTGTATGTGTAAAGGAGACTTAAGGCAGCTGGCACACTTTGTACTCCAGGGCACATTTGGAGGGGGGAATTAAATGTGCTCGTTAGCCCCGGGCAAGGTGCCAATGCAGCCTTCACCATCCAAAGGTGTGAGTACTCATTTGCTTTGGATTTGATGACACCTCCATGTCAACTCTGCTTTCTCCACAGCTCACCCCAGCAGAGAAGGGCGGACTCTCCGATTTCAGCAGCGAGCCTGCTCTGTATTTTTGATCGCTTCATCTTCTGGCCTGCAGCAGCAGCTGCTGGACAAAAAGTGTCAGTGCACCTTCTAAATGTCCATGCAAGCACCACGGAAATAAGCTTCTGGGTCCCTCCCTCACCACAGTTTTCGTTGGATCCTGATGCCAAGGGTGGACTAGATGCTATTGGGCATCTTAAGAGAATATTTGCACTGGACTTTTAAGGTGTATGATTTATTCTACCTGTGGCCTTGCATATTCCTTGTTCAAGATCAGCTGAAGTCCCGGGATGGATGTAGATTCTCTCAGTGCTTATCTGAGTCCGCCCATCCAGGCACTGTATGGGGTCTGGATGGCTTTTTTAATACTTCTCCCATCAGAGGCCCCAGTGAAGAACGGTTCTGGAGTTGGAACACTGGGAGTATCTGGGCAGCTAGCTGGATTCACAGAAGTGGTTGTGATTTGACAGCTAGATTGGGTGTCAGTTTGGAGAACTATTGAAGGTTCATGGTTTGTTCTCGGCGTGTTTCTGCGTCTAGTTTCACTGAACCATCGTGGAATTGATGTGCCAGTTACGTTCTTGTGAAGGAAGCTGAACGCACTGAGTGAGGGATGGGAAGGGGAATAAATGCCTTTAGCTTTAGGTGTCATTTTTGCACTGATCTGTAAAGAAGTGTCCAGCCTGGTTTGAGCCTCTTGAACATTCCCAAACATTGGCCAAAGCTTGAATCTGCCCATAGCTGACTCTGGTGTCCAGCCTCTAATAACAGTTGATTGTGCTTCAGTTTGCCAGTTCCGCTTGTTGCTTTGTGCCAGCATCTAACGGGGCCAGCCCAAGATTTATCTGTCTTGGTTGGTGGGGAGGCTTCCTTCTAGCCAAGCTTGCTCTGCTCCTCTAATGCAAAGCACAGGAGGGCCATTTCACTCCTTTATTCTGCAGAACTTGAACAAGGAATATGGTTTTTTTTTTCCTAGCATTTTTATAGTTCTGTTGTAATTGTTTAATGCAGCCAATATGCAAAAGAATCTGCTAGACTCTTCCATTTAAGTTTTCTACTACTGTAAACTCAGGGTCAAAATTGCACTCTGGAAAAGACGGAACACTGCTGCTAATGTGATTTGTACTTCTGGGATTAAAAGAGATGCGGTTGGAATAGATATGGCCTCTTTGGGCTTCATGAAATGAGTGGTACCCCAGTGTGTGGCTCTATCCAAAGGAACAAGCTGGTATCTTTGATTAAATTTGATACTTTTATTGGTTTGTCTATTATATATAGATGATGAATGTCTAGTCAAGGTGACACTGGTCTATGAACCGAAAATGCTCTCCATACCTTGCACTTGTTTTGCTGTATATTGTAGCAGCAGGAGGAAGGCTGTTTTGCTGAAAAACGGAGTCAGGACTAAATGTTAGGACATAACCTGCTTCTAGCTGTTCTCCTCTTCTGCCCTGGGTGCCTAAATATGTCTGGGAAAAAACCCCAAAACCTCAGCAGTTTGTTATTTGTTGGCTGGAGAGGCCACAAAGGAACACTTTCCACCTCCTTGCACTTCTAAGGCTTGTCCTTTTCAAGCTAACTTGAGATCTGCTCCCCGTGTGACCTCCCAGGAGCAGTATGTGGCTGGCAGTGCATCAGTGTCTGACATGACACAAGTACCGTGGAAAGAGCAGTGAATCCCATGTGCTGAGGCTTCTCCATTAATGAAATACTTCAGGACAAGATGCTGAGACTGGGGTAGAATGAGAAAAAATGCAGGACTGCTAGTGACTGCTAGATTTAAGGCATGAGTAAGTTACCAGATATGTGGAATTAAACACTGAGCCGTGCCCACAGCCAGTAGCTGTGCACACAGCCGAAGGAGGTCAGGGACGATGTTTGAAGAAAAGGTTACGCACAGCTTTTCTAGCAAAAAAGGTCTCAGTGAGCATCTTGCACTGTGGAAAACTCAGGCCAGTTCAAGGCAGCTCTATCTCTAGATTTGCAACTTAAAAAAAACCCTGCAGATGGTGAAGCTAAAGCTGTTTGCAATTAAAGTGAGGGACAAGGTGTCTGAACTAGTCCCGACTTCATTCTGCAGTGATCAATGAGGAATGCTAAAGCCAACAATATTCTGCAGCTTGTTCCACTGACTTTAGCCAACTGAAATGCTGCTCTGGTACTCTGCCTGCTGTTCTCAGTGAATTAGCCCTGTGCCTACAACTTCTCTGGTTAGGACAGGCTCAGTGGAGGTGTGAGAGTGCAGAGCGTGCTTCTCAACAGGAGCACATGGTGCCCTGGTGTGCTGCTGACTTCTTTACTCCTTCCAGTTTGCCTGCTCTACGTTGTAGCTGTAATTTGCACCTCGCTGAGTACTGCCTTTGCATTTCCCGGCTTTGTACTCTACACCCTGTCTGTACCAGATGAACTCTTACCTTGATCTTGGCAAAGCAAGGTGAATGCTGTTTTGAGGGCAAAAGCATTAGCTAAGTCACCTCTGTGGATATGCTTCAGTATCACTGTGCTCAAAATAAAGGGTATTTTTTTTGTAGATGCCTACTCTGGTCTCTAGCATTTGAGGATTAACTTCAGTAGATCTCTAACTAATACCAAAGTGCATCTAAAAGGAAAATTTACTTCTGCAAAACAAAGACTTTTATTAAATGTGGCATCCTTGTACCAGAACAGCAGCTGTCCCAGACCAACAGGATTTTCCAGCTTGAAAAGCAAGTTTAGGAATGCTTTTTGGCACGTGCTTGTTTTTCTTTTTCTTTTTCTTTTGAAGTGCTTTGCAGCTCACTGGCTTTAACAGCATTCCCAATTTCTCCCTTCAGGACATCTAGCAATGTTTGAGAACTCTCCAGAATCTGGGAAAGAAAGAAATAAAAATAGCTTATTTTTACATAAACTAACTGTTTCTCTTACGAGTTCCCTTGGAATTCATCTGATCTACCTTGCAGCAAGAAGGATTCTCCAGCCCTTACAGTATCTAATTCTCAGTGACGTATCGTCCTATCTCACTGCGGGAATATCTGTGAAGGAATTTCTCTGGTTCGTGCCCATATTCTGAATACAAAACACCTTTAGCAATTTATCTTGGGGCATGAGGCAGAGAACTTCCTGACGTAGGCTGTGGGGTGAACTTTAGTTTGTTATTAAGGCAGCTGTTGATACTTGGGCTTTTTAGATCAGTATTAAATTGTGCTGAGCTGACTCAGTTTCAGTTGTCTTCCACTGTTAAAACTGCACACTTTAGATTTCTTGCTTAAAGACTAACTCAACTCTACAATGACCTTAAGTCAGACTAAATCTTTCCTTTTATTAATTTTCTTCTGTTTTTAGCTTATATTGTATATAATCTAACACTCCCACTCACTATGCACTAGGAAGCAAGGCTACAACAGGTTTAGGAGATCTTGATGCCTGTCCATCTCACCATTTTAAAGTTTTAACACAGTGGACAACTGTAACAAAATGTGATAGTAGGGTTGTAGTCCCAAAGATCATTTACATTCCTATCAACTTGTGGGAATCACTAAGTGGTCAGAGAAGAGATGAAGGTAAGTGTCCTGCAGGACGAGGCACCAGTAGAACGTGTTGGTGGGATCTTGCCATCTTGTCCGTGGAAGGAGGTGGAGTCCTGTGACTATCACGGGCTGGGGGAAGGCAAGGAGTGCGATTACAGACAAGAGATGTACATCCACAGGAAAGGAACTTTGTTACTGGTTTCTGTTAGCAGGACGTCCGCATTTCCTCTCGTAACCACCTCTGCATTTTACCTGCTGTGACTGTCTTCTAATTTCAATAAACATGAATTCATTTGTAGGCTGGGGGGTTGTGACTTGTATCTCAGGGAAGGTTTCTTTTAAAAGGTGCTGTTTGTTCATGTAGATTTACAACACAATTTCTAAGCTGTTAAATTTTTATGCAAGTTCCCCCCTTCAGCCCAAACCATCGTGTCTTGAAGTAGGCTGAGAAAACACCTCTAGCCTTATCTGAAAAATAATTGTCACTGGAAAGTACTGAATTTGGGAGATGAAGAGGATCTGATACAGAGTAGTGACCACATTAAACGCATGGGAAAAGGAGAACGTAGGCAGCAGCTAATAGGGGAAGGGGTGTTCTTGAGCTGAAACAGCTCTTTGTTATCAATAGAGGGAAGATCATGGCTTATCTGAAAGTGAGCTGGAAATATCCTTTTATTTTTTTAAAAACCTGATCAGTGTGTAATTCAAAAGTGAATTCAGCTGTTATCCTATGTGCAGGATGAAGCAGTCCCTGCCCGGCAGAGTTTAAAAATATGGGACAGCTGAAGGGATTGAGCCATCCCCGTAACTGAAAGAACAGTAACAGCCCTTGTGCTGTTCACCTCCTTCCTACCCCTTTACTGGTCCAACATTTAAACTTTTTAAAATGATGCTATTCCATTAAAAATGGAAGAAATTACATGGAAAGTTGAGCAAAAAGAGTGCCTAGTAAGCCAACTGCTCTGTCATCACAGTTTGCTGTTGCCTGCATGAATTCATGGTCTTCTGGGCCAATTTCTTGTCTCTGGATTCCTCCTTTTCCCCCCCCTTCAAATGGTGGTTTGCGAGATGGTCGTTCTTTAGGGGTCCATTCCAAGGACCATTTTGATGTATTTCGACAACATGCTTTAACTTAACCCCCGCTTTTCTCCCCTCGTGACGGGCTCTGCGGGACTCGCTGCCCACCCGGCCCCTGGGAGCCGTGCGGGCTCCTGGCTGGGCAGCACCCTGCGCTCCCCGGGGCAGCCGAAGGCGG